AAAATTCATTCAGGAGGTCTGCCCTTGGTTTCCTGAGGAAGGAACCGTTAACTTAGAAACGTGGCAGAAAGTTGGAGAACAAATGCGCAATCATTATAAAGCCCTTGGGCCAAGTAAGACCCCGGTTGATGCATTTTCCTGATGGAATTTGATACGGGATTGTTTGGATCCCAAGCATGACCATAATCAACAGTCTTTTAAGCCAGGAGGCAATGGCAGCACCCAGGGCAGACAGAATGTCTCATCCCTATGTTTTGTGATGGCACAAAACAGGGGTCTAAAAAAGACAGTATATTCAAAAGGAATAATGTAAATTTTAAAGACAAATCCTCAAGATGAGGAAGATTTTGAGGAAGCTGCTGCTCTTTATCATGATGATAATACAGGTATTGTTCAAGCAAAAGAGGAGAAAGAATATTTTTCTGCTGGAACTGAAGAGGGTAGTGATATAGAGGATGTGTTAGAATGCTTTTTAGAAACATTAAAGCTTCTTGGCAAGAAAAAGAGAAGCCGCGGGGGCCGTTCCCGCTGCTCTCCGCTGCCTTGTGCAGCACCAGTTCCACTTTCCCCTCTCCAGATGACTTTGCAGGAGGCACGAAAGTGTGGTGAGGAATTGGGCATTCATGCCTTCCCCATTATGGAATGGGTGAACCCTAACATGGGACAGCGTGAGTGTACTTATGACCCGATTCCTTTTAAAACCTTGAAGGAGCCCTAACCGGTTTGGCTCAGTGGATAGAGCATCAGCCTGTGGACTGAAAGGTTCCAGGTTCGATTCCGGCCAAGGGCATGTACCTTCGTTGCGGGCACATCCCCAGTAGGAGGTGTGCAGGAGGCAGCTGATTGATGTTTCTCTCTCATTGATGTTTCTAACTCTCTATCCCTCTCCCTTCCTCTCTGTAAAAAATCAATAAAATATATTTAAAAAAAAAAAACCTTGAAGGAGTTAAAAACAGCCTGTGCTCAGTATGGGCCTACTTCCCCTTATACTTTAACCATCTTGGAAACTATGGCCTCAGAGGCTCTCCCACTCAATGATTGTAGAGCTATTGCCAAAGCTTGTTTATCAGGAGGGGATTATCTCTTGTGGAAATCAGAATATGATGAAAAGGCTAAGGAACAAGCTGCTCGTAATCGAGCTGCCCAGATTAATATTTCTTATGAAATGCTGGTAGGAGAAGGAGCCTATGCTGATACCCATAATCAAATTCAATACCCCCAGGAAGCTTATGGACAGATTAATGGAGCTGGGATCAGAGCCTGGAAAAAGTTACCCACCTCTGGTCAGAAAACAGAGGAGCTCTCAAAAATTATTCAAGGGCCAGATGAAAAGTATCAGGATTTTGTCTCTCGGCTATTACAGGCTGTTGGCCAAGTAGTGGTAGATGGAGAGGCTGGCTTGTTAATAGTTAAACAGTTGGCATATGAAAACGCCAACACTGCCTGTCAAGCTGCACTGAGACCCTATTAAAGAAAGGGGACTCTCTCAGATTATATCCGCATTTGCGCAGATATTGGTCCCTCATATATACAAGCAGTCGCCATTGTGGCTGCATTAAAGGGAATCACCATTGAAGGAGCTCTTCAGCAACAGTTTAGCACAGGGAAAATAATAGGGGCATTGTCTGTTTACCCTCCTGTCCCTGTGCCATCTCAAGGCCAGCTGGCTGCACAGCACCCAGCCTACCCCAGGGAGAAAAACTGATACAAGAGCTATTCCAACCAACCCCCGGAAGTGCCAGGCTGGACCTTGGATCCATAGGGATGAGACATTCTGTCTGCCCCGGGTGCTGCCATTGCCTACTAAAATAAACAAAATATTATTAGATTTAGAACCTGGGGATGAGATTGTTCCTCCCACATGGAGAAGAAATGACGATTTCCTTGCATTTCCAATACAGCTGCAGCAAATGCCACCAGATCTGCAACAATATCCCCAACATCCAAATGGTTAATGAAAAAAAAAAAAAAAAAAAAAAAGGGGGCCGGGGGCGGGAGCGGGGAGAAGAGTTCTTTGTTAATTTTTACTTATCTGAACTATGCTGGACTCAAGGCCGCAAGCTGCTACTAAGCACAACAAATTTTTCTCTGTCCTGTTTTCTTCTCTTTAACCCTTCCAATACTAAATTAGACTGATACAATATACTTAAAATTACACAAGGAAGGAAGCACCTGCTCTTATTAATCTAAAGAAATGCTAAATATTTAACTTGCCAGCCAAGAGTTTAAAGTTCTAGTTAAATTAAATTGGGAAAAATTATAATTGTGGTAACTAAATGCCTAAAGTATAGAAAT